ATCTATTATTCTTTGTGAGAATAAACTTGGTAATCCTATAAATCTTTCTTTCCAAAATGAAGCATTACAATCTGATCTTCTTAATACATTTGTTAAAAACATATCTTTGTACCATCTAAAGTCTGACAAAGTTGGGCATCTTAAATTTGTTAAAAATGTTTTGTTCGCATTTAACTCTTCTTTTGGATTTCCTACGAAATACATTACTATTGTTACAATTAAAAATTCTGCAGCATTTGATTGTACTTGAATATTTCCTTGATCATCTTCAATATCTTGTGTATGATCTAGTATTGATAATTTATCTTGAAGTGTTAAAGCATTATCCCACCAAATTTTTAATTGTCCTGTAAATCCTGATACTAATAATGTTGCAATATTTCTTTCTTGAATATTTTTAAGTTTATAAGCTAATTTAGCCATTCCCATTTCTTGTAAAGTATTTAATACTTCATATTCTGCTCTTCTGTCTGTATTCCATTCATAAATTGAATCTCCATCATATTTAGTAGTATGAAATTTTGATCTTTCTTCATATTGAATATTTGGGGGACTAGGTTTTGGATAGTAATTTCTAGTACTTACTAATTGCTAATCTTTTTATTATTTCTGAAGGATTTTCTTTTTCTTATTTTATTTATTTGATTATCTTCTTCTTCTCTAAATTGATCTTCTATAGGTGAAATCATATTTTCATCATTTTCTGAATAGTTTGATTCTTCTGATGATATTTCTTCATTGACCATGTCTAATGTACTTATTTTAGGAGTTTCAGTTTGAGCTTCTGTTGTTAGACTCCGCAATGTCTGAGATATTCTATTCAATATATTATCTGTATTGTTTATTCTTTGAGTATTAACACTTTGAACTAACTCTTGTTCTCTTTCTCTAGTTAAGCTTCTAGGTTGAAAATGTGGTGCTGAAATATCATTAGGAAATCTTGTAACTGGTTTTTGAATGCTATCTATTTTTGTATTCATTACTTCTATATGTTGAGATATAGTGTAAAGAATTTGATTTGTATAATTATTTTGTTGATATAATTTTTTAATATTTTCTAACTTTATATTATTACTACTACTTGATTCAACTTTTCTATCCTTTTTAAAAGGGGATGCAATTATATCTTCTTGTCCTATATTAATTTTTACTTCTTGCAGTGGAGGATGAATTGAAGTTATTACTTGATCGTCTTTTAATTTCCATTTTTTATATAAATTAGTTTGAACATTTATTTGTGGAGTATTATATACATCATCTATTCCTACCTTTGAAATATAGAATGATAACCAAGTAAAGAAGGGAAAATCAAACTTTCTTATCTTTAGTTCTTTCTTCCATTTTATTAATTTTTCTTTACATTCAGAAGATAATTGAAAAAATTAAATTCTTTTTTCTGTATTTTCTTCATCATCAAAATCTTCTTGTAAGTATTTATGATTTATTTTATATTCTTTAATTATTACATTTATTTATGCTTTCATTTGAGAATGTATTGGAGAATATTCTGATTAATTTTGATTAATTACTTCTGGCACTAGAGTTTTAAATCTGAATGTCGATAATCCATGAATGGATACTTGGGTCAGATTGCAAAACACCGATCAAACTTCTTTTTCCACTGCTTCTTTGTGCAACCTTTATTAACACAACTACCACTAATCATAACAATAAGATTAACAAGAATAAACTAAAAATACTACAAGAAACAAGGAAAACTATCCTAATTTAGAACCTTAGATAAAGTATTACCGACACAGATGGGGAATTCCTAAACTTGGAGGTCCTAATTCTGTATTAGACTCCTCCACTTAAGTAGAACTCATCCCCAAGTTCTAAGGAGAAGTTCGATGCAAGAACCATAAGAACTTGTAGCCATGATCCTTCCTCAAATTTTGTAAAGCCTAAATATGATGAACTTTTGTACTACCTCAAACACACTCATTGTCTACTATAGTTGAGATGAATTTTGTTGCACCTTTCCCTGTGACATAAAGCTCAACTAGATCCTTCTTTGGGTGCAAAATTTCCTCACTAAGGTTAGTATCTCCTTGGGTTAGGATAAGAGCACAATCAACTAATTTGGATGGAGATGAATTTGACGGTAGTGGACCTACGAATACTTTATCGGCCTCAAGGTCCTTGAATTCATGCAACTTATCAGGCTCCATGGTTGGAGAAGAATCTATGTTTGTGGGGAGTCCGATGGTTTGGAACAAAATTTTTCTTTGTCACCATCGTGTTTGTAGATGAACTCCTCTATCTCTCCCTTCTTCTGCTTTTTACTATACTCGAGTTTTGCTACATCAACGGGTGATGTAGGCACACAAATCTAATATCGATATTGAGTGGTTCGATCCCAATTTACATAGACCTAATAAACAAGAGAACCTAGAGAAACTGCACAATACCGGAATTATCAAGAGTGCATCTCCCAACTAGACATCTAGCATGTAGATCTCTTGAAATAGTAGCTTGATCTAAACTTTTGGAAAAATTCTTGAAGTAGACCTTCCATATGATCACCATGAGCGTCAAGGTGGTCGAGGCAAGTGCTAAAGTGATCAAGGTTATCTTGAGGCATTATAGTGGTCATCGAGGAGAAACCGGCTCTGATATCATCTAACACGGTATGAAAGTACGAGGAGGAGAAGGCGTAACATGAACACCATTCATGATAGAGAAACCTAAGGTGATACAAAGTAAATGTTGACCTTGGTCGATCAATCCTCGGTTTTGATGATTAACAAATCAAAATGTAGATTTGGGCTAATGTTTTTATGTGAGCAATTTGTTAGAACAGATTCTTGTGACACAAAAGAAGAAGCAAAAACAGGGCACTCATGTCGGACGTCCGAAAGGAAGCTATCGGACGTCCGAAAGGATGAAGAACATCAAGAAGGAAACTCTGTCGGACGCTCGTGAGGAAGCATCGGACGTCCGGAAGGATCGGACGCACGCCTCGGACGCACATCGATCGCATCAGACGTCCGAGAAATTTCGCAAAGATTTGATGACTCTCTGACGACGTTCGGACGCAGGGTTCGGACGTCCGACAGGCCAACGGCTAGTTTTGACAGCATTTAATATTTGACCGTTGGAGAGTCTTTTGGAGCCATTTCTCACCTTCTATAAACACCCCAAAACACAAGAAAACAAAGGACTTTTGCCAACACAAAATACAAGCTTACAAGTGAGATTTTTTAGTAGAAAGATTCTTTGTTGGTTGTATAAGGGGTTGGGGAAGTTGGGTTGTGAGGTTGCTCAAGTGAAGGTTACTCTCTAGGAGGAGTAAAACCTTGGTGAAGGTGAACCTATCACTTGAAGTGGTAAAACCTTGGTGAAGGTTACCTCATTTGTATAAAATAGTTCTTAATTGGGTGAGTGATCTTTCAAGTGTAGGTTGTTGAGGGTTAACTAGAATAATTGTAAAACTCCTTGGCTCAACCAAAGTGTGTTTGGGGTGAGGAAGGAGTGAGCCTTCACTTGTACATCTTGGTTAGCATCGCCATCTATTGAAGAGGCTATTGGATTGATATTTTGGTTTGCATTTCTTATCTTTTCTCTTTAATTAAGTTTTCTTTATTGTGCTTAAATTTGATATATTTTTGTGCATCATTGTGAAATTGTTTGTACTCATTGGGTTGCACCAGACCTTACAGTAAATCCCAATAAACAAGATTCGAAGAATCTTAGAATGAGAGAAAGCTCTTAACAATTGGAATTACCAATTCATATTTCATTAATAATTGATAAAAAAAAAAGGAATGAATACAAAAGCTCTAGATATGCCTATTTATATGTTAAAAAAGTTTGATCTAAAAAGTAAAAAACAACACTAAAAAGCCCTAAACAAATAAAAGTTGCATATTGGCCATCATTGAGGATTTGCGAATGGATCCAAGTTAGCCAAAGCAAATCCGTGTCTCGAATCCGACTCGACAACCTATGGACGAATTCTTGGGCCGAATTGCACCTAGACACCAATCTGCCCTTTTTCTTCCATTGTTTCCATTGCCCTTTTCTCATCCATTGGACCTATCCCTTTTCTTGATCTAATTTATCAAGTAAAAATTTTTCCTTGTGTTAAAATCCCTTTTAATCATTAATTTTCGGAAATCTTGAATGATCTAAAGACAATTAAGATAAAATTATTTATGTGATGGACAGGTCCAATGGTGGAGAAAACATATTTCTAGCAACTCAATAAGAAAGTCTTTTTTTTTTTGGTAAATTCTTTTGGTGTTTAAAGGCGACTCCAAGGGTTTGAGAATTAAATCAATTATAGCCCTACAAAATTGAACTCAATTCTTGATGCTAACCAAGCTCAAGTCAAATTAAATAGTTCAATTCTCGATGTTAACCAAACTCAAGTCAAAATAAATAGTTCAAATTTGTGGGGCTATAATTATTATATCTTATTTTTAATTTTTTTTAAGTTTTTCAATGTAAATTTCATTTGTTTTTTGGATTTTATGGTATCTATTCTTGATATCTATTCTTTGATAGTTATATATATTTGATGATTTATTTCTCTTAGAAATTGTAATGAAATTATGATATTTTATTAAAAATATAGATCTAGACTTCGAGCATGATACATTTAAGCTGAACTTACTTGATCGAGCTAAACGTGCCATCACTAATCCATTCAAAATTTTGATTTATATTTTTTATAAAAAAGGAAAAATTCATTTAGAGCCCTAAATATTCGATATTTTTCATTTTGATCCAATTATAACAAGGCGTGGATTTGATCCATATGTATAGTTGTCAACGGACTGAGTTTGGACTCGAACCCGATATTTTTTCTTGAGTACGGATTAAAGAATAATTCTGGTACCTGAACTCGTTCCTGTACTCATACCTGTTTACCTTAACAAAAACAAAAGATCAATACGAAATATAAGATCGGATTCGGACCCGAATAATAAATTAATAATAATAAAATATAAATATTTTTAAATACATTTCTTTTACCAAATTAACAAAAACCCTAATCTTGCAATTCACCTACCCGCTGCACATGTCTTTCTCTTCTCTCTTGCTCCACCCGTCGATTCCAAACGTCCAACAAAATCACTCTTGGTCCCGTCCGCCATTTCCAAGCTTGCAGAGTTCGCCATCTCCTATAATCAATTCACCTCTAAATTGCTAGCTAGTTGTAAGTTGCTCCGTCGAGCCCGCTCCGCTGTTTCCATTTCGAAGGTTCGAGTTCCGCTTCCAATCCAGATTGTCGAAGCTTCCAGTTCCAGGCTCCAACAACTCTCTCTCTCAGCAATTTCGCATAAATTGGATACGGGTAATTTTTTTAAATTTGTTTGTACCCTAAAACTCCATGAAAAACATGGTGAAAGCCTTAAGTCGAGTCTGTTGGAATAGGAATAGGATTACGATTTGAACACCAAAGAAAATGAATGATACAAAAGAAAAAAATGTAGGCTTAATGCGTAACCACAGAAACATTTCTTGTATGTAAACAAATACTCACAAAACTTAATGCGTAACCACAGAAACATTTCTTGTATGTAAACAAATACTCACAGAACTTAATGCGTAACCACAGAAACATTTCGTCGAACAGTTGGCAGGCAAGAAACCTGAAAGCCGGCAGTGGCATTGATGCATTGTCTGTCAATACAATAATTTTTCTTCGTTTTATATTAACGTTAAGAACAAATCAGACCTTTATAGAACACCATTAGAGAAGAAACATTGACAGGCCTACCCGTATGAAACATCCTATCTACGGCTGGACCAAGAAACAAATATTTCAAACTCCTCAAAACATCAAAGAACAGGAACAGTTGAGCTCAATTCTGTTGCTCCTTCGGTGTAATATTTCATATTTGAGGTACCTTTTCTAGCTAACATCTATAAAGGTTGTCCAATTTGTGATTTCGAAATTGAGCTGATATTCTGTTGCATATTTCAGATTTATTTCCTTAATTAGTTGCATTTCTTGATGGTATTTTTTCGCATATCATTTCTCAGTTTACTTGTCGCAGATTGGTGGAAAAGTATAGTTTAGGGTTTGCTGATATGATGTATCTGAAAGAGGGATGTTCATTGCTGCTGAAAGTTCATAAGCCCTCGATCGCTTTTGTCCTGAATGCTAGTCCAATACTTGGTGTGAATCAAGAAAATGATGAAATTAGGAAAAACCCAAACCTTAATGAATCTGATGTTTTGAAGAGATTAAGAGGTGAGCGTGATACTTATTTAGCTTTAGAGTACTTTAAGCATGTAGCCAATGTAGAATCCTTCAAGCACACAACTTTAACTTACCAAATGATGATTGAGAAACTGGGGCAAAAGCACGAGATGGATGGTGTTCAGTACCTTTTGCAGCAAATGAAGTTGGAAGGTGTTAATTGTTCTGAGGGTATATTCATTAGTGTGATTGATTCTTATAGGCGGGCTGGGGCAGCTGAGCAAGCGCTGAAAACCTTTTATAGGATACAGGATTTTGGCTTTAAAGTGACTGTGAGGATTTATAATCATTTGTTGGATGCGTTGCTTTGTGAGAACCAATTTCATATGATTAATCCTGTCTATAACAATATGAAGAAAGATGGCTTGGAGCCGAATGTTTACACGTACAATATTCTTTTGAAGGCATTGTGTAAGAATAATAGGGTGGATGGGGCTTGTAAGTTGCTTGTGGAAATGTTAAATAAGGGATGTTCTCCGGATGTGGTGAGCTATACAACAATAGTGTCATCTTTGTGTAAGATTGGTAGTACTAAAGATGCAAGAAAACTGGCCTTGAATTATACACCTAGTGTTCCAGCTTATAATGCTCTTATAAATGGGTTCTGCCGGGAATGCAATTTTAGAGAGGCGTTTGAGTTGATGAACGACATGTTGGATAAGGGACTTAGACCTAATGTTGTCACGTATACAACATTACTCAATGCCATGTGTGATGTTGGTAATTTTGAGCTTTCTCTTGCTATGTTGGGGAAAATGTTTGTGAGTGGATGTAGTCCGAATATTCAGACTTTAACTTGTTTGATAAAAGGACTTTCTTTAAAAGGAAGGGTACATGAAGCTCTTGCTGTATGGAACCAAATTACCAGGGAGGGGTTATTACCCAATGTTGTCACATATAACACATTAATACATGGTCTTTGCTTTGTTGGGAATTTGTCCGAAGCTTTGTGTCTTCTTAACCAGATGGAGAGATATGGCTGCCTTCCCAATGTGACAACCTTTAGTACACTCATTGATGGATATGCAAAATTTGGAGATCTACGGGGTGCATCTGAGATATGGAACAAGATGATAACGTCTGGTTGTCCCCCAAATGTTGTGGTATATACCTCCATGGTGGATGTGCTTTGTAGAAACTTCATGTTTGACAGAGCTTATAATCTGATAGAGAAAATGGCAATGGAAAATTGTCCGCCAAACACTATTACATTCAATGTCTTTATCAAACATCTGTGCACCAGTGGTAGAGTAGATCAGGCTATGGAATTGTTTGATAAAATGGAACACTATGGATGTGCATGTAATATCACGACATACAATGAACTTTTGGGTGGTCTGTTCAAAATTAACAACTTCAGACTTGCATTTGAGCTTCTTGTGGATATGGAGAGAAACGGAATTGAGTTTAATATAGTGACATACAACAATATTGTAAACGGCCTTTCTCGTGCAGGCATGTTTGAGGTGGCCCTGATGTTTGTTGGAAAATTGTTGGTGAAGGGAATAAAACCTGATACTTTCACGTTGAATATTGTAATCAATGGCTACTGTAAGTGTGGTAAGGTTGAGTCAGCTATTAAGCTTCTAGACACCATGAGTTCTGTAGGTTGCAATCCAGATTTAGTTACATTTACCAGTCTCATCTGTGGAATCTGTGAGACAATTGGTTTAGATTTAGCCAGTGTTTATCTTCAGAGGATGATAGAAAAAGGAATCTGTCCTAATATTTCTATATGGAACTTCTTGGTGCGATGGTTATTTAGGAAGCTAGGCTATGATGCATCACTGACACATTTTAATAATGTTATGGATGGTAGACTGGAAGAAACAGAGCTTCAGTTTCAAACTAAAGTATGACTAAAGGCGAGTAGTTGCTAGAAGTCAGTTCCAAAACCAAGATAGGTTTTGATTGAGTATTTGAGTAATTGTGGAGATACGAGCTTAGAAGGTTATGCAAGGAAATTTCGGAGACTTAGATATTTCCCAAGTGAAGGTAATTTATCCCATAAACATCTTCATCTATTTCTTATTCTTACAATTTTTCTGTACCTTGTAATATATGTATTCTCTATTTGTCTTTTTGTGCTTATGTATGCTCTCTTAGCATCAATTTTTGTGACGTGTTAGAAATGAGCATTCAAGCAGTTTCAACATGTCTCAAGTAAAACAAAAAATAGTGAGCCATTATCTCTGGCATAAGTAACAGTATGATTTCTTGGAGTTTTGAAACTGCTGTTTGGATTTCAGAGTTTTTCATTGGTTTGGTGCATAACCAGGGATGCTTAAAATTTTGATGCCAAGAATTATCTTCTCCTGTGGTACTTCCTTTTCTGTAGTTCCAGATATGATGGTGGGGTAAAACAAATCTTTCTTCACTGTAAAATTTCATGAATATCTGGTGTTTACTCTGATACAGCTTGGGTGGGTCTAACATACTCTAGATGATAAGATAAAATGAACTTTTTTTTGCCACAAGTGGCCGCATCTTATTTTACAGAATAAGCAGGAAAGCTCTTATTTATTTATTTATTTATATATTTTGTTTTCTGCCTTTTCCCTGATTAAGCGGCTTGGATGATATCAAGAATAGTCATTATGTATTTTTCATGGTGCTTCAGACGAGCAGATAAAATGGCCCGTGGGGACTAAAAACCAAAGCAATGCGGAGGCTAAAAAGAAATTTGCTGAAAGCAATAATGATAGGTGCAAGTGTGACATTTATAATGCAAGTACTTTTGTTTGAGAAAGAAAATTCTGTTTTGGCTTTTTTAGTGATCCATGATCTGATCTTCAGCTTATTATGTGCTGTCTGATAGCAAAATGAGGAGTATGTATGATAAATGATGGCAATCAGGTTAGAAACGGGTTGGCGGGTCGGGTTGAGACCCGTGTATAATAGATAACCTGCTGACCCGAACACGACCAACCAACCCAAAACGGATTAGGATACCTGACCTGAACCTGAAAATTTCAGGTTGGCGGGTCAACCCGAATGACCTAAAACATAACTTCAATTTACTAATTTACCACTGTAGTTTCTAACAAAAACAATTTCGTACAAGACTACGTAATCAAGTAATAAAAATCTCGATAAAACAATCCCAAACTAGATCTGAAATAAATTAAAACACTGTAAAAGTATTTTATCCCAAATCAGATCTAAAATAAATTAAGATACTATAAAAATAGAAAATAATGTAATAAATTATTTGTCTAAACATAATAATTCCAACGTCACACAAGTTAAACAAATTCATTTAGAGCTGTGATGCCCCACTTCTCCCAATGGTGAACCCAAGGGTATCGGCGGAACGCCTGCCCAGCTCTCGCCAGAACTCGGTACTAGTTCAATTTAAACTCAATAATAACCAATCGATACTAAAAAAAAAAAATCGAAGAGATAAAGGAAGGTTAAATCCTTAATAACCGTTCGAGTCTTACATCATAATTTACCCAATTACTTTACATTCCCAAAATATACAGCTTCCAAAATCAAATTCTAAATAAATACATTCACAATTTTAATCAAATGAAGCATCAAGTAAGCTTCTCCAGAATTTCTCCCATTTCAGCTCCTATTAAAGAAAACAAATCTAATGGGGTGAGCGGATGCTCGTGAGGCCAAGAAAACATGCAAGACAAGTAATTCAATAGCAGTAGCACTTACAAAACATTGAAAACTATAACATTCAAGAAATTCACAATTTATAATAAACCCCCTTGAGTAGGATGTAGGAGCTTTCAGGAGCTAAATCTTTGCTTACTTTGCCCAAGTTCAATTCAATACCTTCTTGTGACGACACCCCGTCACTCGGATAGATAATTAAATTCATAGAACTTTACGTATTTCATTTATGTTTCTAAGATGACTCGAGAGGCACCTCCCACTTAAATTGATGTGGTACTTACTATCGCTCAGTTTATAGGTCTGAGACGATTCGAGAGGTACCTCTCACCAAATTGATGTGGTACTTGCTATCGTTTAGAGGTCGATGAGACACCGCTCCAATCGACTTAGAATGCTTAAAGATTTTAAGACTATTCGAGAGGTACCTTCCACCCGAATCGCCTGAATCGGCGTGGTGCTTGCTATCGTTTAACGGTTTAGGGTACTGAGACGACTCGAGAGGTACTTCCCACCAAATCGGTGTAGTACTTACAATCGTTCAGTGGTCGATGAGGCATCGCTTCAATCGACTTATGCAGCCGTAGCATAATTAATTATTTCATTCAATCATTCAATACATTCATTCATTTCATTTCAATCAAGTCATTCACGATTCATTTATTTAAATTCAATCAAGTCATTCACTATTCATTCATTTCAATTCAATCAAATCATTCATGATTCATTCAAATAAGACCGAGTGTGGTAAGATACACACTCGACTCAGTATTTTCAAAATCTCCAATCACTAATAATAATTAAGTACATATCAAGTTTACATACACTTGACACTCACCAAGTAATTCAAGAAGCAAGAACAAGTGATTGTTTAGGCGTCTTTCGTGTGATCCTCTTGCAGGTCCTCTTAAGTGCTTGAGCAATTAATAATGAACTATTATACACTATCGCTTAAAATCCCTAATTATCGAGGAGGATTGCACTAGAGTACAATCTAAGAAAATTTCATAAAAATGAGCCTTAATTACTCGCAAATCGAGACTCAAATGTAGGGTTTTAAAACACGAGAAATTTGGTTTTCATCTTGGAAATCAAGTGTAAAACGGTCTATTAATATCGAAGAAAAATGGAGAGTTCGAAATCCTCAATTTTCTTTGAGTTCGGAAATTTCAGATTTGTTGAGCGATTTTTGAAAAATCGTATCTCACTCTCTGTAAGTCCAAAATTGAAAAACTTGGTACCATTGGAAACTACTTCCAAAGTACTAAAAGTTTCTAGAAGACATTTTTTCATGATTTCAAATGGAAGACATTCAAATTTTGGGTTCAAAATGCTATTTTGAATACTAAGGCAGTTTTTAGGGTTGGTTTTTTGCCAACTTTGAAAATTCGACAAAATTCACACAATGTGAACTAGCCTTTGAAAGTTAGAATTCAATTAGAGTTACAATCAAAATTTAAAACAAAACAAGCAGAACAAAAATCGGGGTTTTGAGCACCAAGATATGGCGGCTCAAAGTTACCTAAAAGTTGGGACTGTTAGACCATTTTTCAGGTTTAAAACATAGATTTTGAATCTTAGGTTGAGCATCGAAATGGACTCGGAATGGCATTAAATTTGGTATGATTATACTACCATATAAGGGCTATTCCTCTGTTAAATTTCATACAAAAATTCATTCAGGAAGTCGGTTAACAAAACCATTAAAGTTCCATAATTTGTTAAGGCAAATCTGCCTTGCACTTGCATTTTTCTTTTCTCAAATATTTGGTCAATGAAAATTCCTCGAACATGATTCATTTATGAGGGCAAAATCTAGAAAACATCCAAAATATGTTTGGTAGGTGATTAACATCAAGAATTTCGAATAAAAAGTCTCAAATCAAGATTAGTTATAAATCAGTCCATAATTAGGGTTTTCTTTCATGAAGACAGCTCTGAAATCTTGCCACAACTCACTTAATTCAACTCAGAATTGAGCGTGGTCGGTGGCGTTGAGAACTACATTTATAAAGCTATAATTTCTTAGAATGAATTGTTTTAAAATTCTGTTCACAACTAGCTCATATTTGAGCATCAAGTTGCAGCTCAAAACAGGGCTTCCAGTATAGACGAGAAATAGAACAGACAACTTTACAAGGTTGGTACGGCTCACCCAGGTGGAATCAGGGCATGTATTTTATACTGTTGGAAAATTGGAAGTGTCTAGTTTCTAATGCGGCAAACGGCACTCGATTTCAACGTCGGAGCAAAGAGTTATGGCCGAAACAAAATCACTGCCAGAGAGGCTCTGGTTACGTTTCCAGTTTTACTACATTTTTAAAATCTCAACATTTACCCATCCAAATCACATAATTTTTTTTGTAAAAACTTTCTACACAACCTATACAACCTATCTACATCAAAAACAAGTCAATTGGACCACAAAAAATTGCACCAAAGTGCACGGCAATAGCAGGGGCAGAAACTGTAAAATTCCCTATTCACTTCCTTTGAGATTTCTTTTACAATACAACTTATTTTCACTAGATTAAGTACTAATCCAACATAAATAACATCAAATCAATTCATCAAGCCATTGTGGGATTTCATAGAGTCTATTCACAAGATTTTCAACAATATAAAGCTATCCACATGAATTTATGAGCTTATAAGTGCAAGATAACTTCCATAAACCAAGTTTTAAGAGGTTGATCGTTGTTTACCTTTGTAGATGATTAAGATAAAAAATTTCAGTCCTTGGAAGCTAAAGAAAATCGTGAGAAGCCTGCCCTTTTCCTAACTTAGGTTGATCTCCAAGTGGTTTGTAAAGTGTGTAAATTTTGAAGTGATTTGGGTGAGATTTGAGTGGTGAAATGAAGAAAAAATGTTTGTTCTTTCTTCCTCCTTGGGGCCGACTGCTATGAGTGAAGAGAGGGTGTGTTTGCTGAAAATGAAACTTCCTTAGGAAGTTTAAATGTGTGGTTCAAATTGCCTCAAAAGTTAACTCTTCCTCACAGCGCGCACGCGCTCGTTTCGTGCTCGATTTCTCTCCGGTTTGTTTCACTAATGCACTAAACCTCTAATGCACTTCCATTCATACTATTATTATTGACTCTTAATAGTCTAAAAAGAATTTCTCAAATCTCCAATTAACCGCTCCGGTTTGATATACACAATCAAATCTACAGTCCCATAGTCCGGCATTCTAAATTTTTAGATCTAGGATACACTACAAAGATCTAAAACCTAATCTCTGATGCCAACTGTAATACCCCCACTTTTCCTAAGGGCGAACCTAAGGGTATCGGCGGAACGCCTGCCCAACTCTCGCCAGGACTCGGTACTAATTCAATTTAAACTCAATAATAACCAATCGATATTAAAAAAATTCGAAGAGTTAAAGGAAGGTCAAATCCTAAATAACTGTTCGAGTCTTGCATTATAATCTACCTAATTACTTTACATTCCCAAAATATACAGCTTCCAAAATCAAATTCTAAATAAATACATTCACAATTCTAATCAAATGAAGTATTAAGTAAGCTTCTCCAGAATTCCTCCCATTTCAGCTCCTGTTAAAGAAAACAAATCTAACGAGGTGAGAGGCTGCTCGTGAGGCAAAGAAAACATGCAAGACAAGTATTCAATAGTAATAGCACTTGCACAATCGTGAAAACTGTAACATTCAAGAAATTCACAATTTATAATAAACCCCCTTGAGTAGGATGTAGGAGCTCTCAGGAGCTAAATCATTGCTTACTTTGCCCAAGTTCAATTCAATACCTTCTTGTGACGACACCCTGTTATTCGGATAGATAATTAAATACATAGAACTTTACGTATTTCATTTATGTTTCTGAGACGACTCGAGAGGCACCTCCCACTCAAATCGGTATGGTACTTACTATCGCTCAGTTTATAGGTCTGAGACGATTCGAGAGGTATCTCCTACCAAATCGGTGTGGTACTTGCTATCGTTCAAAGGTCGATGAAACACCTCTCCAATCGATTTAGAATGTTTAAAGATTCTAAAACGATTCAAGAGGTACTTCCCACCCTAATCGGTGTGGTATTTGCTATCGTTCAGAGGTTTAGGGTATTGAGACGACTCGAGAGGTACCTCCCACCCGAATCGGTGTAGTACTTAGAATCGTTCAGTGGTCGATGAGGCATCGCTCCAATCGATTTAGCATGGTTTAGGGTATTGAAACGACTCGAGAGGTACCTCCCACCAAATTGGTGTGGTACTTACAATCGTTCAATGGTCGATGAGGCATCGCTCCAATCGACTTAGCATGGTTTAGGGTACTGAGTTCGCGTATATCGAACCGGAGCAGTTAATTGGAGATTTGAGAAATTCATTCTAGACTATAAAGAATGAATAATAATAGTATGAATGGACGTGCATTAGAGGTTTAATACACTAGTGAAACAAACTCGAGAGAAATTGAGCAGGAAACCCGCCTGTGCGCGCGCGGAGGGAGAGTTGACTTTTGAAACAATTTGAACCACACATTTAAGCTTCCTAAGGAAGCTTCATTTTTAGCAAACACACCCTCTCTCTTCACTCATAGCAGCTGGCCACAAGGAGGAAGAAAGAACCAACATTTCTTCTTCATTTCACCACTCAAATCTCACCCAAATCACTTCAAAATTTACACACACTTTGCAAACCACTTGGAGATCAACCTAAGTTAGGAAAAGGGCTTGCTTCTCACGGTTTACTTTAGCTTTCAAGGGTCAAAATTTTCTGCCTTAGTCATCTATAAAGGTAAAAACGATCAACCTCTTAAAACTTGATTTATGAAAGTTATCTTGCACTTGTAAGCTCATAAATTCATGTGGGTAGTTTTATATTGTTGGAAATCTTATGAGTGGGTTCTATGAAATTCTATAATGGCTTGATGAACTGATTTGATGAGATTTGATGTTATTTATGTTGGATTAGTACTTAATTTAGTGAAAATAAGTTGTATTGTGGAAGAAAGCTAAATGGAAGTGAAAATGAAATTTTACTGTTTCTGCCCCTGCTATTGCCGTGCACTTTTTTGTGGTCCAATTGACTTGTTTTTTGATGTAGATAGGTTGTACAGGTTGTGTGGAAAGTTTCCACAAAAAAAATTTCGTGATTTGGATGAGTAAATGTTGAGATTTCAAAAATGTAGCAAAACTGGAAATGTAACCAGAGCCTCTCTAGCAGTGATTTTGTTTTGGCCATAACTCTTTGTTCCGATGTCGAAATCGAGTGCCGTTTGCGGCATTAGAAACTAGACACTTCCAGTTTTCCAACGGTATAAAATGCATGCCCTGATTCCACCTGAGTGAGCCGTACCAACCTTGTAAAGTTGCCTGTTCTGTTTCTCGTCTGTACTGGAAGCCCTATTTTGAGCTGCGACTTAATGCTCAAATATGAGCTAGTTGTGGATAGAATTTTAAAACGATTCCTTCTAAGAAATTGTAACCTTATGAGTGTAGTTTTCAACGCCACCAACCATGCTCAATTCCGAGTTGAATTGAGTGAGTTGTGGTCGGATTTCAGAGCTGTCTTCATGAAAGAAAACCCTAATTTTGAACTGATTTATAGCTAATCTTGATTTGGGACTTTTTATTCGAAATCCTTGCTGTTAATCACTTACCAAACATATTTTGGATGTTTCCTAGATTTTGTCTTCATAAATGAATCATGTTCGAGGAATTTTCATTGGCCAAATGTTTGAAAAAAGGAAAACGCAAGTGCAAGGCAGATTTGCCTTAGCAAATTGTGGAATTTCAATGGTTTTGTTAACCGACTTCCCGAACGAATTTTTGTATGAAATTTGACAGAGGAATAGCCCTTATATAATAGTGTAATCATACCAAATTTGATGCCATTCCGAATCCATTTCGATGCTCAACCAAAGATTCAAAATCTATGTTTTAAACCTGAAAAATGGTCTAACAATCCCAACTTTTGGGTAACTTTGAGCCGTTATATCTTGGTACTCAAAATCCCGATTCTTGTTCTGCTTCTTTTGTTTTAAACTTTAATTGTAACTCTAATTGAGTTCCAAATGTAGTTAATGCCTTTGGGGAAAAAAGAATAAGTTGGTTTAGTTAAATAAAATATTTTTATATTTACTAAATTATTTTTAATTCATAAATGGGTTATCGGGTCAACCCGTGGGTAATCTGAATTCGACTTTTTTTTCTGGTTCATCGGGTTTGACCCGATTCCGACCCAAATATACGAAGTCTCAACCCAAACCCATTAATTTCGTATTAGGTTCGTGTCGTGTTTTCAGGTCATATTGAAAATTGCCACCCCTAATGATAATTATGGGAAGAGGGTCTAAACTAGCTTACTGCTAGTTGTGGCAGAGTTTTTCTTTATTGTGGATGGCTAGATTTTTACTAGACCACCATTTTGAATCCGGGGTTGAATTATTTCTTGGTTAACTTCTTTTATTTTGACTTTATTTTATGAGTAGGGGAGTAAACAAACATAATCAAACCGAACAACCAAGTGTTCAAGCTTGTTTGATTATTTAAAGAAGCTTAAAATTTTGTTCAAGTGTGGCTTGTTTATTTGCTGAACCGAGTTTGAACGAGGTTTTGATGGGATTTGAATATTATCGAACATAAAATGCTTTTGGTTTGACTAGTTGGTGAGCTCGAACAAGCTCTTACCAAACCAAACTCAATCTGAATATCAAGTAATTTGGTTCATTTTTCAACCCTATTTATGAGACTGTTTAGTTGATGTTGCAATATTTTGAGCTTTTGTTCTTCAAGTTTTCGAAGTTCTTCATTTGCTCTTGCTTTCTTTAACAGTTTGGTACTCCACTAGTTCAGGTATCTTTGATAATTTCTACTGTTTTGGGTCGACAGTTGTTTGAAGCAAAAATTTCTATTAGATCGAACTTTATTGCTGTCAAATAGGCATGGGAAGAGTTACCTCATACATAGCTATGCTATTTGAATTTGAGTTTCGTGGACTTTGTTATCTGGTCGCTGAGAAACACCATTTTTACAGTATAGACTTGATTCTTTTCCCTATTTATCATGTTCTGCTTTTCAAGATAGATTTTCCTTTTAATGATGGAATAATGTGGTTTTGGTGTGTTAGCCCTTTTAATAATTCAAGACTGTCTATTTTTCCTTTCCTACTTTCTGCATCATGTATAATTGCCAGCAAGTAGTCCTTTTGAACTTTTCTTCTTAGGATCTGTTCTTTAAGGGTAAAAGGCCAAAAAACTCCCTGTGGTTTGACAAAAATTCAATTTAACTTCCTCTGATTTGAAAACCTACACTATAACTCCCTGTGGTTTTGACTAAATTGAAAATTGGATAGAAAGCATCAGATCTAACGGTTGTGTGTGAAATGTCAATGTTGCCCCTACTATACGTGAGATGCTTTCCATTCAATTTCAATTTAGTCGAAATCGTAGGGAGTCATAGTGTAATTTTTCAAATCAAAGGGAGTTAAATTGAACATTCAACAAACCATAGGGAGTTCATTTATATAAGGGCAATATTGACATTTCATGTATAATCGTTAGATTAGATGCTTTCCGTCCAATTTCAATCTAGTTGAATCCACAGGGAGTTATAGTGTAGGTTTCAAACTAAAGGGAGTTAAATTGAACATTTAGCAAACCACAAGAGTTTTTGGGTATTTTACCTTTTCTTTAAACATGATTTTTATATCAGAGAGAAGTAGAGATTTCTAAATAACTAAGACTTTGCTGTTTGCTCTCATGCAATTAGGAGACTGCCATGCCAAGATTCCTCTAGTTCTAAAGACATGTGAGGACTCACATTCAAGAATTTTGTCTTTGTTTTGAATCATTGGATTTAACATACTGCTTTTGTGCTGCATATTTTGATGGGGAAATTTATGAAATGGGGGCTCGGTTGATGCTTAATTAGTAAACGGAATTTGAACAAACAGTATTTGTACCGATTTTTGCAGAGTAACGGTATATGTTATACAAAGTCAGTACGAAATATCCTGTATAATTGATAGCCCAAAATCTTGTGCTCTTTCTTGCCAAATGCGACCTATTTCGGAAATTTCCCGTGATACCCATGGTGGATTTGACAGCTTGAATTTGCTTGAATTAACTTACATAAAGCTGCTGCTCTTTATGTTGTTGACAGTTGTAGCTCTATCACTTCAGTATAAATGGTAGATGGATATGTATATTCTTTGTACCATACAGTTTGCTGCATGCATCTCCTATTCCCTTTTTATTTGCCGTTTGATTCAATGTTGATCGATCTTTGTGATCTTAGCTCCCTTGCTAGTATCAAATGCAAATAATGATCTGTCTTCTGATACTTAAATATGGTGTTTGGGAGCTAGGCACTTGTTGAAGTTAAAGCAACATGGAGCTTCAGCTAAATCCCTTTTTGTCTAGATGAGAAATGGTAGAGGTTGCTATGAAACAAGATGTCAGCTTTTTCACAGTTGATAGCCTCCTATGAAAGAGTATTTTGGGGTTGGTTCCTTCTTATATCCGGCGCAGTTTCCTTTTGTGGGCTCCTTTTCGCCGCTGTTGGCTCAAAGCTTCTTCCACCATCAGGGAATTCTCTCATTTCTGCCATACTGAATGATAGGTTGATATTCCACTTGACTTTTATCTTCTATCATAGATTTCCTCAGCATATGCACCTTCTATGTAAAAGGTGAAAATTGGGGACTATTCTTAGCATATGATATAGAAAGCTTCTCTATTGCTTCCATTGCGTGCTTATGGAACTAAATGTCTGTTGTAAGGAAAAGTTGAACGGCAAATCTAAGGTTGTTATTTTGGCGTATTTAGCTAGATAAATCATGGAATTTAGCAAGACTTCTTCCTAGGTCAAGTGCTTATTCATATTATTGTCTTTTATCTCTCTCTCTCTCTCTCTCTGTGGTATTGACTTATATCAGTTTATACAGAATTTTTTTCCTAACTTTTTCCTTTTGTCTATAACCTTATCCACTTAAGGATGGTAAAAGCTTCACTATACAGCTTTTGTATGATACCGATTAGTAATGTCATCATCTGCTGCTCTTTTCTTGTAATTATTCAGCATTTCAATGGTTTGGATTTGTGAGCTTCAGTTTGTTGGACCTTATTGGTTTTTGACTCTTAGAAACTTAGGCTAGTAGTAGCATTAGCCATTATTTTTTAACTTGGGGTTCACTCTTGAACAGGTACTATTGCCTCTTGGTGCCCTTAACACCTCCAATCCTTCTTATTGCAGTCTACTTCCACTGGCTGTGTATGAAATTGTTCAAGCATGCATAACCTCATGATCATCAACTCAGGTGAGGGATGGACTTGAAAACAATGATTTAGGCCTTTGTTGATTGTCCTTTTATTATTTATTTTGTTGACGTGCTTCTTATTCACAATTGATTTCTTTTCTCTTTATATGCACGTTTTATGCAAACATGCATGTGCATATGCCTGTTTGCATCTATATCTAGGAAGTGGGTGTACATGATTTGTAAACCACCATAAACTCAATCATGTTGCTCATCATTTTAAATTTTGTAATAACTTGACATACTTGAAATACCAAAGCTGCGAGCACAATACAAGTGCACCTTAATATTCAGGTTAACTTAAAATTGCAGGTTCACTTAAGGTTGATAATTATAAAAGAACCTGCTTCATGATAGGCACTTAGGTGAAGGCAGACTATTCTGAACCAACAATAAGACTGGCTGATGAGAAAGCGCAAAGGGTGTGTTCTCAAATTAGATAAGCTAGAATAATGAATTACCTGATGGAGCATGTTGAAGACAAAATTGAATGGAGATCTTTTTAACTTGGTTTCAGAGTTCCAAGAAAGATTTCTGAAAACATCCATAAGGCAGTGTAACACTAATTTATTAACTGTAAGTTCGAGGTAGAGAAAGACTGACAATGGCACGGCATCACATAGTTAAGAAAAGCATTAGGGTTAATGGAGGATAGTGTAGATTGCAGAAAGAGTACTCAATTTGCTGACACACAACTTTAAAAAGCCATTCTGCCACTTGTGGGTGCTTTAAATCATCAATGAAATGTTCGAAAATGAGTTCCTTTTGCTAGTGTGCTTCTGACTCCTAAAACCTGATCAGATCAGCCTTCTTTTTTTCGTCAACAATCATGATAACTTAGTAAGTGCACCTCAGCAAGATTGAATTACATGAAATGTGCAAGAGTAAGTTCTGGATAGAACTCCTTGGGCATGGTGGTAATTTTAATTTATTCGTGATCTTATCTTGATACTTAAAATCTCGATGTGGCTTGGAGCTTATTTACCTTTAGGCATGTTTCTTCCTTTTCTTATGTAGTATATGTTTATGAAGCAAGTTGTTAAGGAAGAAAAAAGAAACAGCGGCTTCTGAATATATTCTGGGCCTTTTTTTTTCTTTTAAATTCTGAAACCAAAACATAATACACAAAACACCTCTATAGATGTTTTCTGGAATTAGCTACCTTCATTGTAGAATAAGCTAAAAATACATGTCAAAGTAATCAAGAAGTCAGAACAGATCATGTACTTATAAAAGTTTAGGATATCAAGCCTAGCATGACAAGTTTTTGAACAACTGAAACTTGTTCTACCTTTATTTTATTGATCGAAGTTGAACGAGCTTTTCAAGGGCCAAGGTTGAATTGACTATTGAGTGACTTGGTTTGTATTTTCAGTTCATCATTTATCACCTGTTATATTTGTCCTCCCCTAAATAGTTGTGCTTGCTATAAGTACAGGGAAATAGGAATGTCAGACTACCTTCTGGTGCTGATTTTTTTTTTTTGTGTAATTTAATAGCTGAAATAGGAATATTAATTATTTGTAAGAAACTAGAAATGTGTTTATCCTGCATCTAGTTCACAAATGTAAATGTATATTATACATAAATATCAGCCGTATTTTGTTGATTCATCCGGATTTTGTCTATGCCTGCCCATAGTTTTAAGTTTTGCTAAAATGAGAGTGTGGCTCTCTAATGTACACAAACAATTTCTTTTTTATGTATGTCTTAATTTATTGCTGGTTACATGATTTATGTTGAGGAACTTAATAGTGACAATATGCATATGAGAACTGGAAACATTTTTATGCATATGTCGGATTAACACATATAAACCATTGTGTATACGTGTGCAGGTACCATATTGATTCACTTTGGTCAACATTGTTTCAAACTTGCATGCATTTACATTCTCCTTTTGCTGAAAATGCGTTTTCTTATTGGCTGGTTTGCTCCTTCAGTGATTGATGCATTTGTTTTAAACGCTTTGCATTGTACATTAGAGACGACTTGGTGTTCCGAGTTCAGTTTCACATGGAAAGTCATCGACCTACTCCCCCCCCTTCCTTTTTTTCTCCTGCAGACTGATAATATTGGTTGGCTGTGTCGATAGCAATTTTATCCTTTTAAGGTTTTTAATTTGAAAACTAAATGAAACGGCTCACTTTAAGGCCTAATATACTGTCAACAAGAACTAGTGGCCAGTTTATCTTTCTTGATTTATAGAGTTATGTTTTTTGAACTAGTGGCTGGTTTAGCTTCTCAAAATATGGAGCTAATTTTCCATTTCTGCTACAGGAGAATGTCTATGATTGTTAGTTTGAATGCAAAACTTTCAACTGTTTCTTGTGCTACCACCTCATATGCTTGCAAGTCATTCTGTAAGAATTGCTGGTGGCAGCAAGTTTTCTAGAAATTTTAGTTTTGCTTGGATGTTGCATCTGACGTCTTTTCTTCTTGTCCATTTTTCTCCCTATTTCTCTGCTTATGAGTTTTGGGGTTTTCTGTAAACAAGATCACTGCATGGCATGATTTTTTCCCTTTCTCGGTTGACTTCGCAGACTCATAATTGAGATTGGTAACTTATCAGGGAAGCTTGTATATCATTATTACCATATATAGATGTTTTGCATGCTTTTCTCTGGCTCCTTTCCTTTGCACATGACTGGCAAATCTAATTGGTGATTTCCATGAAGGCTATTGGTTTGCATAAATTAGTATCAAAATCCAAATTCTTAGAATTGATAAACTTGCACATCCGAGGTAATGAAATGGCAATGGTTTGTATTACTTGGTTTTACACAAGCAATTCAAAATCTGCCCGCTATAACCATGCACAATGAACATTGTAAAAGGTCAGAGTTGTTAAGCTTCTCTCATACACATATTACGACTCGTTATGATAACCTCCAAATGTTTTACTCTTTGCCTATTTGGCACAGGAATCTATAGATTAGGATTGAAATCCACTCCAACATTTCATTGAGGAAGACAGAGGGGAAGAAACTATTACAAGAGACATGGAGACAAAAGCAGACAAAGAAAACGTCAACAGCTTTTTAGTTGGTTCTGTTCCAACGGTCATTTACCTCCCCGATTTCATTACTGATGAAGAAGAGCAGCACCTTCTCAACACTATTTATACAGCCCCCGTTTCCAAGTGGAAAGTTTTGAAGAATAGGAGGCTCCAAAACTGGGGAGGCATTGTGCATGAGAAGGGTCTTCTTGCTCAAGATTTGCCCTCTTGGCTGACTATAATTACTGCTAGGATATACGAGAAATCTGGATTGTTTCCTTCAGCAATTAATCATGTACTCATTAATGAGTACCTTCCTGACCAGGGAATAATGCCACACCAGGATGGACCTGCTTATTTTCCCGTCGTGGCAATTTTGTCTCTTGGATCGCCAGCTGTCATGGACTTTACTCCTCACCCAAGTTTGCAACTTTCTACAGAACCACTGGAGAATAAGGAAACTCAAAACACCACAGCTAATGAAGGGCCCATGCTGATGAATACTGATAGATCCTCTGATAAACATCCACCATTCTCTGTGGTATTGATGCCCCGTAGTTTGCTTATATTTAAAGATGAGGCATACACAGACTACTTGCATGGAATAAAAGATCAGGAGTATCAGCAGTTTGACAAGGCTGTTAATATTCCTCAGATTACAAAAAGCCTTGCCTTGATCCAATCTGCAGCACGCCCAGAGGAAGAAATTGACAGAAATGAAACAAGATGTGACGAACTAATTCATAGGACTGCTACCAGAATTTCCTTGACGTGCAGAGTAGTGACTAAAGTCCAGAGAAATTTGTTCAAGTTTTAGGGCTCTCTTGTTGGAGAGAATTTCAATTTTGGATATCTGTGGGCTACAGTTTGGATTTATGGTGCAAGAATTTTTGGTCTCAACTCGGTCGTACTTCTGTAAGTTGTGGTTGCATATGATTTCCTGGCTGTAAAGATCAGTAGAGTTTCAGCATTGACGTAAATAGTTGTTGCACATGCTCCCCCCCCCCCCCCCCAAAAAAAAAAAAAAGAAAGAGAAGAACACAAGGAATCAATTCAAGGGTTTGTATTAGGTGGACCTCAAATTAAAATCATATGTTTGGTAGTTGAACTTGAACCTGGTTTTGACTAAATTGCACGAGGTGATTGGTCAAACGAATCTACACACGCACAAATATTTCTAATTTAGAAAAATTTCTCACTTCTATAATGAATCTTCCTAATTATTCCTGTCTTATAAGAGCCTCATCTCTCTCAATAAAAATTGTATACATTACTGACAAAATATATTAACTACTCCTACATTAAAATTTTATCTTCTACTTGCATACTTTCTCCAAATTGAGACAAAGTCCTATAATTGTATTACTTCTGAGTATTTCTTAATATATTAAAATTCCCTCCCAAAAATTCTACAAATGCTTGTGATTTTGTATATTCAATGATTTTGGTTAGGAGGATGCTGATTGTAAGTAATTGACTTTATATGAGGGTATTATGGAAATCAAAACCAACTTTTCTTGGGATTCAGGTATGGTAAGATTACGAATAAAAGTATCAAATATAACAATGTTAAGATAAAAAGAGGCTCAGGAATAATGAAAAAAAAAAAAAAAGAGGTCCAGGAATAAAGACAAAATCATTTGCGCCATTACTATTTATTTTAGGATTCTAATGGGCACTCGTTAACACACCTAAAAATCACCTAACTTATCATTTAAAGACACATACAAATACTCATTGCCATCTCTGGCATTTATATACTTTTTCTATTTAATCTTACCTACCCTCCGTTGTCTATATTTACTTTTCCTAATTAATCTTACATTTTAAAAAATATGATACTTGAAATATATCTTAACAAGTGGTCAATGGACATCCGTTATATTTTCCTTATTTTTATTTCCTTTCCCTTTATTTTAACATTCACAAGATGTCACTGTTCATAGTTCTATTTAGTAGAGTTTACCAAGACATTGAAAGCAACAATAAATTTATTTTCAAT